GAGATTACCATGACGGAAACAACATGGAAGGGGTATTCGGACGAGATTTAAGTAGTTGCGATTGCGCAAAGAGCCGACTACGTCAATCCAGCACTGTACAGATTTGCCTTTCACTGTCGCTATGGGTCATGACAAGTTGTTTGAACTTCTTAAATCGATTCCCTCGTAATTAGTGCAGCATCTACACCGGTGTACACAGCACCGGTGTAACTCGTCCGAGGATAGACCTGCACCAGTCTTTAATCCTTTTTAATTTCCTAACTAGCCCGTTTTCCCACCTAATAGTGCCAGCCATGTTATACGTGGGAGCCTCAAATTCATCCTATGGGGAACTTTTAGAAACCATTTTTACCGTAAACTGTGCCTTCAAGGAATATCATCAGTTAAAGATACGCACCCTAATGTTATGTTCTTCACATTTGAACAGGAGGCTTGACACATTCTTAAAAGCAACCGGAGTGAATCTCGCTGTAATGCAAAGCAATAGCTGTTCACAATAGGTGTGAATAACTGATTCAAGCATCAAACTTGATGTTTGCACAGTCACGGTATAAAAGAGCGTCACCTCGAGAAACTAGCATCTCATCCACCCTCCACTACTTTTAAACTTGATCGCGCTACCTCTGAGGACTATTTTTCTACAACAACCGTTTCAGGATGATCAAACACGCGTTAATCGCTTTTGCCATCTTTGTTGAATCGAACGCCTTCGGCTTTGGTGGTAGTAGTGGGTGTTGGTAAGTGAATCACCTTAGGGAGACGGTTCCTTCGTGGCTTACTTTAATGAAATGTTTTTCATTCTTAAATTCACCTGATTTAAACTTTAAGTGCTGTCCTTGAACCACCACCGTGTCTACCACCATGCCTTCCTACATGTGTGCCTCCATGTCCTCCTCCACCTCCACCACCTCCTCCACCACCTCCACCTCCTCCACCACCTCCACCTCCTCCACCTTCTTCATGCTGTGTTCCTCTATGTGTGCCACCTTGGTAAGTAATCTTTCATAAAAACTTAGTTAGTGAGCTGAACATTGGGGCAAGACTCTTACGAGCCATGTAATTTGCTTATAACATTCTTGCTACCCCATATTTAACTACATACCATTTTCAGCAGTAGCTGCGGATGCGACGGATAATGAGCTCTTCCTTGAAGACAGCCACCTCCTCCACTATCATACCCACTCGGTTCCCGTGGCGACGGTGTATATGGCGGTGGCGTATGTTGGAAAGTAATTTGAAGCTCAAACAGCAATATTGTTTCATGCATTATATTTTATACAATAGTATCGCAAATATTCCGATGTTTCTACACTCTAGTGCTCCTGCATTCAAGTGTTTATTGTTTTAGAAAAATAAATATTACTACTATTATTGGAACATTATTCACTCCTCAATCAATTTGAAGGAGTTTCACAGGCGAATCGAGAAAAACAAAGCGATGCTCTTAGAACAGAAAAGGAGATGGGTGCATGCCCGTATACTGCACTACCTCAATCACTTCAGGTCTGCTATTATCCAGGGACATAGTAATATGAATATGGATTTTCTCAGAATCCAAGTGAGCTCCATCAGATCGATGACTCTAGAGTAGAAAGATAGACTGAGAAAGCTCTGAAAATATATATTTGAAGAAAATCTTCTGCAACACAGCAGCTTTCAGAAGCTTAATAGTTGTTTGGAAAAGCAATTTTTAGTCAAAAATAGGACACACCTGTGATCGTTTCGTCAGTATTCGATAGGTCTATCTGGCTGTGCGTTCAAAAAATAGTTTCTCTCCTTCAAAGGAGATAGGGAAGGTAGTAGAAGAAGTGGACTCAGACAGGCTAGGAGGGAAGTGAACTATCATTTGCACTTCCTTATGCAAACTACCTGCGAAATCACCCGCCACGTTTGTGCCATACCCGAGTTTTAGACCAATTGTATGGAATAATTATATCAACTTCGGCAGACACTTATTGTTCTTGCACCTTTGCGATAGCCGTTGGACCGAGACCGTTACTGACTGGATGCCTCGAGACGTGAAACGAATAACGGGACGGCCGCCAATTCGCTGACCAAACTTCTTCACAAAAACTTCAATGGAAAGATTTGCTCCAAGTTTCTCGTGCGAGGTGAGTCCTGTTAAACTGATTCGCTTTTCTCACGCAACGGCTTAAAAGGGGCTTTAGGATCATGCGGGTTGTCGGTAGTGTAAGGGATAAAGGCCACGAAATACGGAAAGCATCAGAACGGGTTTGAATCACTCCCGAGGCCATAGTTCCGTCCAGAACTTGCCAACCTTGCGAGACTTTCGCATGGCTAGTTAAGGGCAGCCATTGAAAAACATCTAGTCGGAACTTATCTGCCTTTCTCACGCAATGAGTCATAAGGAAGGAAATGACAGTTAGAATTTACTTTATTGACTTTACCTACTTCAAACTTCGGCAACTTTTTTACTTGTCTTACAAAGTATATCCAGTGGTAAGTGTCGAGCAAACAACGAATAGCACACATACTCGACAATGTGATATGTACACACGAACCCATGGTTTATCGGTTCACTGAAGAAATTTGTCAAATTTTCAGGAATCCAGACTTCAACTCTACAATATTTACTTACCTGAATCATCCGTTGTTCCCGTGATCATCGATTTGCTTAGGCGGGAGTAGTAAAATGTTTGAGGGGCAAAAGCAACTTCATTCGTTTAGTTTTCATGGATATTCCGACCATCGCGCTAACGCCAGAGCTGGTGCTTGCTTGACATTCAAAAGGATCTATTTACTAAGCGACCGGATCCAACAGTCAAATTCCTACATCTAAAACAGAGCACCTTGGCCTTCGTCTGCCAGCGAAACTTGGAATACGGAAATGTTTCCTCAGTGTCTCAAGCCAGCACCACTGATATCCTTCCAGACCTGCCCTGTCAGAGTTTCATTGTGTAGGCCACATACGCATTGGAGCCCCACCACGGTACTGAATGGAAGTCGATTGATAGGGGCAACTTAAAGAAGGGGTTGGATAGCGATAAGAGCTCT